GCCTTGTGAACGCTGAAAAGCGGCAAATAAAGTTTTCTGTTCATTCATTCATCATTCGAAGTCAGGAGTAACGCAATTACAGTACATCATTATTTTTTATTTCCCCACGTTTGCTTCTTGCAAGCATGTCGACAATTATAAGTGGGAAGACTCTTCAAAAAAATTCGAATCTATTGAATAAAATGTGTATCACTCGATCTTATTTGCTTTCTAAAAGATGTTGATCAGATTTAACCGGAAGACCTACACATGGAACACGCATTATATATATCGTACGTGGAATCGTCTTATATCTCGAGCAATGAAACTGCTTCCCACGCGTCCTTCACTTATGCATGCACGGTGAAGGCGAGTGCGCGTCGGCAATAGAAAATAAACACACCAGCCCGTTTTCCACAAGCGTGGGCATCGAGTTTATGTTCCTTCTCATGAAAGATACAGAGAACAAATCCTTTGACCAAAGAAAGCATCACTCTGCACGCAGCAGTTACATTAACCCGAGGAGTCGAACTTCAAGCAAAACTAAGCACGAAAAGATAATGTCCGCCGTACAAAAAAAAACAGCAAGAGAATATGCAAACTCGAAGAGCCAATGAGCGGAAAATGATCGAACGTAAATTTGCAAATGGCACGAAAACGCTTCGAGATCCAGATGAAAACGAACAGCGGAGTACACAGAAAAACAAAAGCTCTCAGCGTCAAACTCACGCAAACTCTTAAGTAAAAAAAAAAAAAAGAAAACATCGCGCAGCACATACGGAATATCACAATGCCACCGCGTCATACGAAACAAACACTTTCTTGAACCGATTCTTCGCGAGAATATATATATATATATTTTTTATTTATTTGCGACAGCTTCGCAAATTGGAAGTCGAAAAATACGGCATGTGTTTCGTGTTAACACCCTTCAACACGAAATCGCGCAAGAAATAAACCCTCACTCAAAGATAAACGGGAACCGTATTTATGCAAAAATCTCACGCAATGATCTCCCTCCTCGAGGAGGCGACACATCACAGCTCGCATGATAAATCGAAATAAAAATTCGCGGAACACAAAAAAAAGAAAAGAAAAAAAAAGGAATTTTTAATACCGACACAAACAAAGAAGCTTGTACGTCCGAAAAAAAACTGTAACTTTCAAACAGGAAAGCAGAATGAACACGGATTCTGTTCCTCGTAATAAGGTCTTCAGCGTCTTTCTATCGTTTCTCAGCGATGGGTACAAAAGAAATACAACACTTTCATATCAAAATTGGTCAACAGGTCTCATCCCCTCCCGAGCACAACGAACTGAACCGAAAAATCCACATGGCAAAAAAAAAAAAAAAAAACTCAGCTCGATCAGGAAGTCGTGCGCTCGGTTCTCACAAGCAAGAAACAGTTACACCACAGCCATTTTCTGCCCGAACTGCACGACACATTTTGCTCTGGACTTTAAGGGCCGGAATTCTCCTCCCAAATTCCATTCGAGGTTTTCACGCAAGAACAGAAACAAGAAAACACTAGCGCCGTTATCACGATGGCATTAATCGCCGAATTTCTATCTCTTTCAAGGACAAACGTGACATGAATTCGTGAAGTTCAGATGGAGGCTTTTAAGTACATGATCGCATTCACGTCACGAAGTTATTCGTTCAGCAAATATCACACAGCATTAAATGCTTGCTCACTGGAATTTTTCATGAAAATGAACTATCATAAATGCAATGGGAAAAATAAAAAAGCTGGAAATATCAATGAAGAATTTATTGGAAAAATCATTTCAAGAAGTTCGTAAATGCTACTCTTCAGAATCTATGCGGCCAAGGAACCCACCTAATCACAGTACTCAGAAAAAAGCGCTGATCGTCGAATTTTTCTTCACCAGAAATACAAAGTCGGCAATTAAAAAAAAAAAAAAAATCAAGTTCACGTCCATAGAATTCTTGATGCAAAACAAGAGGGAAAGTTTTAAAAGACATGGAGCTGATTACACGTAGAACAGCTTTTCTTTTTATTCAAGTACTGCCTGTACCTGCATCTGAACTTCTTCTGTCAACACGTGTGCTCACAACTTGGTGATTTGTATGGGTGGGCTGCAAGATCGCTCTATCAACCGCGTACACTCCCCAGCAGAGGGTGTGTCGTCCGACGAATCCTCAATGTCACACACTCTGAAGTCATCATTCTCATCATTAGAACCGGAAGTTCCGGTGGTGCGATTTCCTCCTCTTCCATTATCATTATTGGCACCAATAAAACTGTCCCGAGACACAAACCCGCGGCGGTTGGCCGACCCGGCGACAGCTCTTCTTGGACCGATTCTTGGTCGACGTCGCCACAAGGCCGCCGATTCCGAATCCGTCGTTTCGTTCTCACTCATTGTGAGGTGGTGAGTGGGCAAGTAGTCATCGGGGTGCAGGATTCGGTGCTCATCGCCACCAACGGACTCGGCTCCGCTAATCGTCGCGTTTTCCGCGTCAGCGAATGGAATTTCAATGACGTCGAGTCCGCCGGCGTCTGAAAACGGAATGTCGCCTTGGGAATCCAGGTCAAAGTCAGTCATTTCGCCGACGTATTCAGCGTCAACGTCGTCAAGGACGGGAAGCGTCTCGATCTCTTGATCTTGTTCCTCGCCTGCACATATACACAAACGGATGTGAGAGAAAATTATTGTAGTTTATTTCACAGTATGGAGAAGACCGAATGCCCAGGAAGAAAAAAGAAAAGAAGGTCGATCCGAGGTTTTTAATGAAAAAATTCTTGACCCTAACGTGGAGAAAAAAAAGTTTTCTCGAGGATTTTATTCGGCGCAGAAACGTTATTTTCTCTTCACTTCGAAATCACGAAGCCCCAAACTCGATTATTCCCCACCCCGTTATTGTAGATTTGTCTCCAGCACTTGGATACATTTTCTAGACGCTGAGTTGGACAAAGGGTTTCTTTTTTTCCACAACAAATATCTATTGGGTTCGACTTCGGGTTCGATTTGAATTGACTCCAGATTCGATTAATCCCTCCGTTATTGCAGATGGGCCTCTCCGTATTTTTTAAATACATTTTCTAGGCGCTCAACTGGACAAGAGGTTTCTTTTCCGAAAAAAATTGTCCTTTCGGTTTGACTTGAACGCACAAAAATAAGAACTCCATTCATTTCTTTCTTGTAGATCCAATCACTCCAGAAGAAAGTGTATGCTGAATTGATCATGCGTGAATAAAAATTTAACATTTAGATTGATTTCCAAACAATGAACTCTTAAAATCGCTTCTTCAACTTAATTGAATCATAGATAATTGAAATCTTTTGTAAATTGTGTGAGGAAATTTTTGCAACGGTTCTGTTCAGTTCAATGCATCGCCTCATGCAGGCAATCCGCACAGTCGTAATTCGACAGAGTCGTGAATCTTTGAAGTTAATTCAGTGGGGCCTCGAGATGCGAACATAATTGTGACTTGAACCTCGTCCCTAAATCAGATCGCTTTTCCCCATAAAATGCAATATTTAATTGGTTCTCCTGTTCATCAAATATTATGAATGAAGGCCCCAACAGATGGAACAAAAGTGTTATCTTAACTTCAAGATACTGTACAGAAAATAGGGGTGCAGATGAAAACCACATAGAATCTGATCTTTTGGCATCATAGGGAGCTCAAGAAGCAACCCACAAGAACTAGTCTAGCTATACTCTGTACATATGATGAAAATAAACTATATACTTTAAAGAAGCACAAAATCTGCCTGTTCTCTGATACTTTATTAGAGTAATTTTATTATGGAATTTATTTTTAATTCTTGTGAATATACCGTAAGCATCTCAATTCCTTAAAGAAATATCAAAACAAACTAAAAATTGCATTTATTTTTCTATAAATGGTGCACAACTGTCCGTATCTCGAGACATTGTCTGCTTATTGACAAGATTTTTTCAGGGTTTCAACTTCCAAGTGCGCCTAAGTCGAATCGTTTGTTTGTCGGGGTCCCACTGCAATTGATTTCAGGCAAATAAATTTGTTCGTCTCTAAATTAATGTTGATTCGAGAAATCCGGGATGAAACACAAATACTTCTAAAAAAATAATTTTTAAAAAAGGTCGAGGACAATGACTCACCAGTCGTCACCGAAGTAGGACCAGGAAGAACCGGCTTCGGTAAACGGGGGACGTTCGACTCGTTGCTTTCGTTGCTATGGAAGCTCGAAGAATCAGGAACTTCCCCAGCAGAAACTTCCGTGATGTTCGGCAATGGAGTCACGGACCCTTTCGCCCAGTCGGAACAGTCCCAGTGGTAATCTAAAATTCAACACAAGCAATCATCTCATGTATCAAACAGAAATCGTAAATCAAAGCAGCACGTTCGAAACGGAAACCAAAACAGCAACAAAAAATATTTGCATTCACATGCTAGACAAATAAGTCAATACGTACCTTTCATAGATCCAGAACAAGCAGCTTTATTTTTTTTTCGTATTTTTTTTTTGAAGAAGGGAGAAAAAAGAAAGCAAAAAGAAGCGGTTGGTCGGATGAAGGAACATACATAGGAGAAGCATTAGTCTTGCCTCGGGCTCCCGAACTCGCTCACAACAACGTCTCAGCTGCAGGAATCCCAACGGGTGCGAAACGACAAGAAAGAGCCAAGCCAAGGAATGAAAAACACTTCTACGAAAAGTGCTCTGCAGGTGCACTCCAACAACAACAACACAAGAAAAAGAGAAAAAACTCCGGAAGAAGCCTAGACGTCTGCTGACCTCCAAGCCATCAATCGATTCCGGCCCTTCAACCGGATTCTCGACCTCCATTCTCACCAGAAAAAAAATCAGGGCAGCGAAAAATAAACTTTTGACTACATCGGAATCGATCGACTCGCTCATCATGCCGCGATTTTGACTGACTTTTGAAAAAGCAGGTCACCATTCAGTACAAAGCGTGTTGATCGATGATAAAACATCAATACTTATTTTATTTTCTCCAGTCGCAGGGCAGCCAAGCGTTAAAAAAAAAGAAGACTGCAAGCCAGCATTCTCAAGAAAATTGCACAACTCTCAACACCTTACCCCAGGGAGGGGGCAGAGGATAAACTGCCAACAGCTTCAAGTACTGCTGGAACTCTTCGTAGCTGCTGGGCAAAGCTCTTTGCCTGGGATTCGACGCTGGAAAATTCAGCGTGGTCGGGTAATAAGGAAATTGCATTTCAATTGCATATTACAATCTCCATCAAAGCGTGTCATTCATCAAATCCCGCATACGTATTCCGCAGGCTAATGATGGACACGACATTATCGCGCAGACGATTGCAGAAATATCTTTACGTAACAGGGATAAGTAATTTTCATGAAAGCCTCATAATTCCCTTTCTTTGTTGCACTGACATTTGCATTAATTGAAAACATTTTCTGGAGAAGACCGAGAGTAGTTTCTTATTATGATCCAGCTGAAAAATTCCTTCGAAGTACAATATGCATCAGAACATAAGCAAAAACTGGGTTTCCTCTGAATTCGCGAATATCGCACTGCATTCAGGCTAGAAAGAAGCATAAAACCAAAGAAGATTCATTGCATACATTTTACGTAATCTGCAAAAGCATAACTCCTGATTCCAATCACAGAGAGAGAGAGAGAGGCAAAACGTTGCAATTTCTGAAGTGGAGTAAATTTGGACAGGTGTCACGGGGAATGTTTAGCCAGCAATATACAGTACTGCACTGTACTTGAACGCATCACATACCGTATTTTCCAATTTTTTTCAAAAGGGATTCAACAATTAACGGATGCACTTGATCCAACCTTATCGCTGGTAACGAAGACTCACTTCCGAAGCAGAAATTTAGTGACACTTCCAATATTGTGCGTTATTGTCACAATCGAATACAACTTAGTGTGCAATCACTGGAATACTGAAACTGTGCAATCTGCGAGATACGGCAGGAAGATGGGCTTTAATTACCTATTGCAAAAAATGAACCTACGACACAAGTGAATGCTGGTGGAACAAAAGACGTTCTGTCAATCAAGCTTTCCATCAAAAACGTCTTTTCTAGGGAATAAACTGGTACACCTTGAAGATACGCCATGAAAAAATGCCGGCGAGAAAATTCCCATCGGTGGGAGTCCATCATATCACACAGATGAAACAACCTCACAGAAAATTACATGGAAGATGTTGCAGGAAAAATGAAGACAGAAGATTAATCAAAGTGAAGAATACAGACGAGGCTTGACTCGGAAAAAGGTATCACAGAAGAAAACCAATTAGTTACTCTGTTCCATTGAAGACATATAAAAACGCAAGACCATGAGGTGGAAAAAGATTCCAGTCCTTTTTTCGAGATATAATTAATTTTCCTTGTCAAGCGTATCAGTGGAACTTGCTTCAAATTATATAATATCTCCAAAGGGTAGCGTTAAAAAAAAAATTCAAGAGGAATACTGAGTTTTCTTTCTTGACTCTCGTCCCGACATTTTTCTCCTGACCTCATCGGGGAATGTGTTTGCAGAGAGACCTGTTCGATTCGTGTTGATCAGAGAAAAGGGTAGGGTTTCTAGTGAAAATAACCCACCGATTCCCATTTTAGGAAAAGCTGTGCTCAATGCAAAGTACACAGTACTCCAAGTAGAAGACCCATGGGAAATTCAAGAAAATAAAATGTAACTACCGGTACCACGTACACGTGAAGACGAGTTAAATTAATCCAACACATACGAGTACATGTACGAGAGGGGTCCAACAAAAGTTGGCATATGATTAAACTGAAAAAATATTCTCTCGCACAAAAAAAATGCGGTCCTGTCTGACATATCTTTGTAATTGTTTTTCTGCTAAAGTCACCATCTGACAGCTTTCTGCCCGTCACGAAAAAGATGAGGCGCCCATCTCGTGAATTTTATTGGTGTAGCTCAGCTTCTTCTTCAGAATTCTTGAAATCGAACCGGCATTTATTCAAAGGGTTGCCTCCAGGTCTGTCAACGCAATTCCGCCACTTACATTAACATCCGCCTTCACAGCCGCCTAATTCTCATTCCGAATGGCGACTGTAAAGACGGCTGTAAATGAAAAGGGCGGCATTAATATCGATCAATGGCGGCTACCCTTGGAATTAATGCCAAGTCAAATTTCAAAAATTCTCAAGGGAAAGCTGGAAAAAAAATCTGAAAGATGCTGGGCGCCTCAATTTTTGCGCGACGAGCAGAAAGCTGCCAGGGTGACTTATTGCAAACATTTTATGAAACATATGTCAACAGGGCGTAATTCATTTTCTTGTGCTCAAAAACATTTTTTTGCTGAACAATGATTGTTCTTCAGCTCAATCGTATGCCCATTTTCCAATTTAAATTCCCAGTACATTCGTTAGACCCCTCGTATATACACCTCCACCAATATTCCGGATTGAACACGCGTCACTCAAACCCAACGAGGAGAACCCCTTCCTCGCAACAAAAAAAAGACGCAACGATCGACAAGAACTCACCTGGAACATCGTCAGGCGTAGTTGCATCATTGTGCAATCCATTCCGTTTCTGTTGAGCCAGATGAGACTTGTGCAGCGGCAACTCGGGCAACCTCACCCTTATCCCCTTCGTTGGCGGCTTGCAGCGCTCCATGTCGTACGCTTTTAAATCTGCGGCACATCGACGAGATACAATCAGGTATCACCAAGCAACGACGGCGATTGTTTACACCGAAATGACTATACGATGACCGGAGATTCGAAATACGAATAAACAAATCTTGGAACTGCTCAAGGTCAACTATCCAGAGATGCCAGAAGACTTCAGCACGATGATCTTCTGGACAGGCAGGAAAATATGGGAGAATAATTCTGCTCGCGCTGGTTGGGAATGAAACGCAACTGTCTATAGTAAAATGAAACAGATGGATGCATGCGTACATAAGCACGAATATGCTTCATGCCTTTCGTCCTGGTATTACAAATACAGTATTGTACGTCCCTGATATTTGAAGCTTACAGAATGGACATGAGGTTCATCCAAATCGCTGATCTCACGATTTTATTTTCCTTTATCAAGTAGGCACAAAAATATTGTATCTCGCGAAGTACGTAAGAAAGAGAAAAAATTTATCTTCTTGAAGATTCCTTCAGTTTAAGCTTCGTAACATTGTTCCAAAAATTATTCATAGATTAACCGAGAATGTTCTGACCGCCCAACCGGAACAAGATGTACGAAAATTTTGGAACCAGAAAGCGGTGAAATGCCAAGCAAAATTTTTCTGAACAATGGAAGTGTAAAATTTTGATTCCGAGAAATACCTGAAGCTTCATGAAAAATTTAAACCAAGACAAAAATCAATGATATTTCCCTCAAGCGGATTTAAAAATCCATGCAATATACAGTAGGAATGCAAAAATTAAATATTTAATTTCAGCCACGCAAAACACAGAAAAAAAGGAAAGCAAGAGGAAAAAGAGAAACAGAGAATCATGCCTCAGTGAAAAGTAATTACGGTACATTAAAAAAATTTTTGATACCGAAATTTGAAGGCGTTTCCATCTTATCGAAAAATGGATTCTCCTATAGAGAAATTAAAAAGCATAATCAAATAGTAAGCGTTTCGGCAATAACAATGCAAGCGGTATTCTAGGCATGATCCAAACCTTCGAAACTTCAGCTTTCAAAATTTTATTATAGAACTTGCATCTTTTAAAACCGAGCCTGTCGCAAAAAAAAAAAAAGAGAACCTCCGAGTGCGTGGAAAGATTCGTGAGGGTCGGATCAGGCATCTTCGAAATCGCACGAGCATTAAAAATACTGTACATAAAAAATGATGAGCAAGATGATGAATTATTGGCAGAAACTACGGCATGCGTGCCTCAAAAGTCAAAAAGAG